CTTGGTTTTTGGACAGCTTCAACAGTTGCATGACTGATTATTTGCCTGACTTCGTACAGCTTTTTCTACATTTGGCAGACAAATTTTGAATATGCCGAATCTGCCCTTTTTTTACTTGTTTTTGAAATTAGAAAGTAAGGGTAATAATAGTAGGTATTTTGGTAAATAGTGATGACAAATTGGATATATTAGTCACAAGGAATTTCAACGGTTCAATTGACAAAAATCTTCGGCACAACTCAACAAAATGTTTGCTGTGGGGCCCATAAAAAGTCAATAATGAGAATGAGAATTTGGAAAAAAAGGGGCTCAAACGGGGGCTTAATAACTATGAATAGAATTGATCTTCTCTGCAAAATTTATTAAATGTATAATTAATTTAACAAAACTAAATAAATTACAAGTCAACACGTGCAAATATAAATGACAATCGAAAGAGTAGACATGACGATCTCCCTCATCTTGACTCGCTATATATTTTTGAGAGGTGGGGTCGAACCTGGTTGGAGCTTATTGCCATCCCCATGTTCAATTTCATAAAATTGATTCTAATACCTAACTAATTATTATTTATTAACTAACAGAAATGATCTAATGAGCNAAAGATTTTGTGAGTTCCAATCTACCAATGAATTAATGTGCCAACTCATTGGTGTTTAGGATAAGATGAGCACCGGTACTCATTAGATCATTTCTGTATTAACTAATATTGGTTAAGTGTGAAGACTATCATAATCTAATCCCAATGGTACAACATTTCGATGCGGAGAATTTACATATCTTTTTTCCGATTGCAACAAATACAGTTGCACAAGATCACTCCACCCCACCGCGGTTTACAGTTGGTATAAATACAGGCTCCCTATATTCTCTCTCTAACAATTTTCAAACGATCATATCTCATTCTCTCTCACCAAACCAAAACCCAAATTTCTTTTGAATTTTTTGCTCCAAAACATTTTTGATTCATTTTCGGTTCTGGGTTTTTGTTCTTGAATCGGATAATAGGACTCAACAGAAAACAATCAAATTATTATGGGTCAGCAGTCATTGATCTACAGCTTTGTGGCAAGAGGCACGGTGATTTTAGCAGAATATACAGAGTTTTCAGGGAATTTCACAAGCATAGCCTTTCAATGCCTGCAAAAGCTGCCTGCTTCAAACAACAAGTTTACTTACAACTGCGATGGTCACACCTTTAATTACCTTGCAGAAAATGGTTTCAGTATGTACCCTATCTCTTTTTCATTGTTTTAATTTTTGCGGGTTCTCTAGTTTTGATTTTACTAGTTTTTGTTGGTTTGAATGTGCCCATTTTGATTTGATTTTAACTCGATCTTTGTTTATTACGGTTGTTTTCTTTGATTTGTATTTATTGCTGGCTAATTTGGATGGAATGACAGTTTTTAAGATTGTTGGGCAGATTGTGGATTATAGGTATTCCATTTCAGAGATACATACAGGATCTAAGTTGTTGTAAGAAAATTTTTTAAGGATACTTTTAAACATGTTTTATATTTGGAATTCTTACTACCTTGTGTCTTGTGATCTTGTATAATATAGGTCGTGTGCAAATATATTTGCACGGGCTGTAAGTGCCTGTGAATGAAATGTAGAGTGGTGTGCTACTAATTAATCATCATGAGACTAGAGCTTTAGGAGGGATTATAACGAGCAATCAGGTTTTATTTTTTCATTTTAAATTCAAGGACTTATCTGTTGATTTTGAAGAACAAAGAAAATGATTTTAATCGATATAAATTCACTTACACAATTTAATTGTCTTGGGACAACACACTAATCTCTCCCTCCAGTTTACACTTCATGCACTCACCCTTATTTTATCACTCTACTCGATCACTCGCTCTATAGTCTTGTTTTTCTCTCTCTGTATATCTTATTACTTTCTCTCTGCTCCCACTCTCTTCACAGTTTAAACTGTCACACTATTCAGACAGCACGCACACACATATATAGGCAAAATAGGCGGTGAAATTGTATCTAGAAAACCAAAAACATCAGCCTTTTAACTTCTCCAGATTCTTCA